TCTGTTCTCACCTCTTATGCTACCTATTTTTATCTCCTTAAGTGTAAAGGGTAATCCAGACGTGGACCCCTTGCTCACGGTGCCTAGAGAGATATTGATCATACCTCACTGATGATATCTTACAAGGTTGAAATGATCGTCTGGGGTTGCCGTATCTCTCGTGCAGAGGGAACTTGCTGGCATTTCGGATCTGAACTGCCCGTATGGGTGGGACCAGTCTGAAATGCTTCAGATATGTTCTCTCTGTAATGGCACAAGCTGAGCAAAAATCAGCTTGAGATCTGTGCGGGGAACCAAATTAAGGGCAGGCTAATTGAGCTGTTGTCCATTCTCACCTCTTTTGCTACCTTTTTTTCTCTATATAAGCTATAGTTAACAGTGATTGGATGAATACCATTTGGAATTAAACACTATTCGTGGAGGGTACATGACCCTTCTAAACTGAGCCCTGATGTCATTGATATGTGCTGAATCCCATGGGTCATTAAGGCCGCATATATAAACATGCATATATAATCAGCGTCCGTCAGAATGCAGAAGGTGATCGCAGCACTCGGAGCTGAGCTGTCAAGTAAGCAGGCAGGAAGCCTCACAGAAAGGCAGGAAGCAGAAGGCTTCAGAGGAAACCGAGCATGAAAAACTCGCACCAATCGTGGCGCATGCACACTAGAAGAAGAGACCCAAGAGCGTTCCTCAGGACCGTAACCCTTCCAGTGGACGAAGCACTAAACTGTGAGTCAACAAGGGAGTGCACCTCATATTCCTCAGAAGAGGCAGCACGGACAGGACCAGCCAAACGACAGGCTTAATGAACCTATTACACAGCAACGGTTTGAGAAGGGATGTATGGAAGGTGTTAGGAATGTGAAGGGTAGAAGGAAGTTACAAGGAGAAAGATACAGGAATGACCCTACGTAACACCTTATAAGGACCAATGTATTTAGGTGCTAGCTTCATGGATGGAACACGTGGACATAGATTCCTTGTAGAAACCCAAACCCTTCATTTAGAACATAACTAGGTGCTGCATCCCTGAGGCGATCAGCGAACCTTTTCTGGGACATAGCCACATTAGACAAGGCACATTGGACCTGCTCCCACATTTCCCTCAAGGTGGCAAGGTGGGCATCCAAAGAGAGTATTCCCTTTTCTGAGAGCACACCAGGAAGGATGCTAGGTTGAACACCATAAGCCACCATGAAAGGCCTCAGTCCAGTAGAGGCATGACAAACCATGTTTCAAGCAAACTCAGCCCATGGGAGTAGACCAGACCAATTATCTCAGAGTTCATTAGTAATGCAGCATAAGTATAGTTCCAGGGACTGATTTGCCTTTTCAGCAGCACCATTAGATTGAGGGTGATAATCTGAGGATAAGAAAAGATTGACACCCATCTCTGCACAGAAACCCCTTCAGAACTTGGAGATGAATCGAGGATCCCTGTCTGAGACAATATCAACCGGGATGCCATGCAATCTGAATATTTCCTTGGCAAATATATTGGCCAGTTGAGCAACAGAGGGGAGTTTTGTCAAGGGGATAAAGTGAGCCAATTTGGAAAACCTGTCTGTAACTATTAGAATGACGGTACGACCTTTAGAGAGAGGAAGATCCACAATAAAATCCATAGAAAGATGTGTCCAAGGCATCTTGGGGGTAGAAAGAGACATGAGAAGACCAGCTCGCATATGGGACACAGACTTAGACATAGTACAGATTTCACATGCCTGTACATAATCATTAATCTCGTTCATAGAAGAAGGCAACAAAAATTGTCTTGTGATATTCTTATATGTTTTCCTTATACAAGGATGACCTGCGGTCTTAGAATCATGAAATAAAGTAAACACCTCACTTCTGTCACTTTCCTTGCCATATAATAAACCAACAGGTTTATTGGGGGGGGCCGCCTGCTTCTGATATTTCTTAATTCTGTCAAGTAAAAGAGAAGAAACGGTAAGACGAGTAGCTGCAATTATGTTGGTAGGAGGAACGATGGCTTCAGGAATAGTGAGTGTTATCTCTAGTGGTTTGTGTTGTCTGGAGATGGCGTCTGCCTTAATACTGCGATAACCAGGTCTGTATGTAAAGCATACATGATTAAAATAAGGACCATCTGAGTAATCTGCTTGAGTAATTCTAACATGCTGATGATGTGTTTGAAGATCAGGGGAATGGATGAGAATGTCATTCAAATATACAACCGCACACAACGGTAGTATGTCACGCAGGACATCATTAATTAAATCTTGGAAGACTGCAGGGGCATTACATAAACCAAAAGGCATCACTAGATATTCGTAATGACCACTGGGGGTGTTGAAGGCTGCTTTCCATTTATTACCCTATTTTATCTGCACAAGATTATAGGCATCTCTTAGATCAAGTTTGGTAAAAAAAACGTAAACCCCTTTATACGATCAAAAATTCTGTTATGAGTGGAATGGAGTAAGCGTTGCGGATAGTGATCTGATTAAGACCCCTGTAATCTATACAAGGTCTCAAGTCTTTTAGAGACAAAAAAGAATCCTGCTTCGGCAGGAGATGAGGATCTTCAAATGAATCCTTTATGTAAGGATCCCTGTATGTACTCCTCCATGATAACATTCTCCTTTTCAGAAAGTGGATAGACCATACCCTTTGGGGGCATCGCACCAGACCACAAGTCAATGCGGATGATGTGGAGGTAGCTTATCAGCCGCTCTCTTCTCAAATACTTCACCAAGATCTGCATATTGCAGAGGTAGGGAAGTTAATAAATGGGAGGCAGTAGGTATGTTAAGTATATATACAGACCATATTTGTGTTAGACAGTTTAAATAACATTTTACCCATGATAATATTTCAGACCTTTCCCAATCAGGTAAAACCAAGAACGATAGGACAAGAAGAGGAATGCAATATCTGAAATGTCATTTGTTCTTTATGCAAGACTCCCACAGACATAACCAAGTCTTGGGTTTTATGTGTGACAAGTGGCTCATCTAATGGTCTACCATCTATGGCCTCAACGGCAAGGGTGTTGCCTTTTGGATCAGACATAAGGCAGTGGTGTCAGCAAAATGCTGGTCCATTAAAATATTTGCAGCCCCTGAATCTATCAATGCATTGGTTGTGATGGATTATTGACATATAGTACGACAGGTATAGTTAGTCTGGTTGTTACATTGGAAGGGGATAATGTCATAACACTGAAGGCCGATCCCTCACAAGGCCTTAGGTGCTGGAGTTTTACGGACGGCTAGGACACTCCTTTCTCAAGTGTCTTTTTGCTGCAATAAAGACATAAGTCCTCTTTCCTCTTGTAAGACTTTTCTGTCTCTGTTAAATTTGTGGTATATCATTGCATGGGTTCTGGTGGTGGTGGTAGTAAGGCGAGCAACGCGGTTGAAGGCAGCCTGGGAACAGGATGGGAATAAAACCCTCTGTGTCACACTATAAGTACATCTCTCCCTTATGCGATTGTCTATAACTATACATAAATCTATAAGATCGTCGAGTAAAATGGGTAATTTCCTAGATGCTATCTCATCTAAGATATTGTCGGCTAAACCCTCCTGAAAGGCTGTCACTAGGGATTCATTATTCCACACTACCTCTGATGCTAGAGTTCAGAATTCAATAGCAAAATCCGCTACAGACCTAGATCCTTGTTTGATCCTCATCAAGGATTTACCTGCTCAACTGACTATGCCTGGCATGTCAAAAGTCTTCTTGAAAGCTGAGAAGAACTCAGCATAGGTATATGCTACAGAGGAACTAGATTCTCATATAGGATTAGCCCATGCAAATGCTCTATCCGACAGGTGGTTAATCAGGAATGCTATTTTCTGTCATTAGGATATGAACGTGGGTTAAGAAACCCACAACATAACATAGGACAGCATGTGGACAGTATGTGCTGGTACACCAGAAACAAGTTCAGGAACCGGAGGAGCAGCAGCACTGTCCTGTGCATCAGGCTGCAAATGCAGTATGCACTAAGATGGTCTGCAAGGCCTAGATGAATTGATCCATGCGGTGATCAATAACGTCCATTCTTGCGCCACAAATGGCCTGCTGCTGTGATACATTTGTAGGTTCCATATTAAGCCCTGGAATATAAACATACAGACAGGATATACTGGAATCTAAACACACAGACAGAATCACTAACAGAAATATTCGTAATACCGGTCCTTAGAAGTATATCAAGTCAGTATATCAAGCCGAGGTCAAGGGATTACAAAGGTATGGAATAACGAAGAAACAAGCCGAGGTCAAAGGAATACAGAGTACAGAGGACAGGATAAACGATATACAAGAGCCAGTCAAAGTACAAAACTAAGCACAAGAAGAACGCGCTATTGGGCTACCAATAAGGAATGGGAGAGGTAATTACATATAGGCTATCGCTAGCAATAATTGGATGAATACCATTTGGAATTAACCACTATTCGTGAAGAGTACATGACCCTCCTAAACTGAGACCTGACATCACTGATGTGCGCTGAATCCCGTGGTTCATATATAAACATGCTGCGCGCAAGCATTCAGCGTCCGTTGGAATGCCAGAGGAGATCACAGCACTCGGAGCTGAGCCGTCGAGTAAGCAGATGGAAAGCCTGACACTGACAGACACACACAATTACACACCGAGGACACTGACACACATTTATACACAGAGAATACTTACACACAAACATAGGAAATTGACACACACACATTTATACACAGAAGAAACTGACAGACAGTGGTGTATCCTAGGCATGACAAAATTCATTGAATACACTAAAAAAGGGATTTTTCCTGCAGGGGTCCGGTGGTTTGGTGGGGCAAGCAAATGTGAGTTTTACTTACCTGGTCCTGCCCCTGGAGAGAAGTGAGACTTGGCTGCCAGTGTGCTCTGATTGGTTGGTATACTAGCCAACTTTGCAATACCTGACATAGCATGGGAAGCCTATGTAGCGTTACTCACCTTATCCAGGGGCCGGCCGTGGTCCTCTCTTCGAGCCGCGTGCGGTCCTGCTGCTGCACGAGCCGCGCGCGGCTCATCCGACGGCTTCAACAGGAAGGCGGGCAGTGACCGCGAGAAGCGGTCACGTGTCCCGCCTGAATCTAAGAGCGCGCCGCGAGTCTCGGGCGCGCTCTTAAAGAGACAGTGGGAGCCTAAATTGTTAAAAGGCTCCCATTGGCCCCTGTCATGCCACACTCCCCATACACTTACCTTTTGGGGGTGTGGATATGACAGGAGCCAATCACATTAGTTTAGAAGCTATTTAAACTTACCTCTCCCTTTACTCCCTGCCCTATCGTGGTTTCTGTTTCAGTTCCCTTTAGCGCTTGTTGTGTTCAGTTGTGTTTCTCCGTATTGACTTTGGCTTTGTTTCTGACTACGTTTTCTCTTTATCCTTATCTGTTCTGGTTGTCGGCTTGCTGTTTACTGTGTACCAGACCCCGGCATGTCCTAGTTTACGCTGTCTCTCTGTGCCCTTGACTTCGGATCGTTCCTGACTCTGCCTCCTCTCATATACGTCGAGTCCGGCCATTCTAAGGTCCGGTAGACGTATCTCTCCTCTGTGTTGTCTTCTGTTTAGCTGAATCCTGCGTGTTGGGGTATATTCTCGTTACAGCCTATAAATGGGCTCATTCTGCACTGAGTCCTCCATGAGTGAAGATGGATTATTTTTTATTGCTGTGCAGTTTTTATTTTTACAGCAATTTTCATTTTTTTGCAATCAAGACTTTTTAAAAATGTTAATTAGTGGCATTGGGAATTCAGGATTTTTATTTGGTCTTTTTGGGGGGCTAAATATAAGCAGAATTAGAAGAAAGAAGACTTTTGATAGTAAGTATAATTTTGTTTTACAGATTTTAGATTTCATGGCCCCCTTCTCATTATTTAGGGGGACGGCTAAGGGATTGGAGACCCCTACCTACCATTGGGTGGTGCTATTATTTTGGAAGGTGGACTAGGGCACGTGCACCCGCTGGCACAGTTGGGGGCCAGGGGCAAAAGTTCCCTCCCCTTATTAGAATTAGTAAGGCCCTACCCACCAGCATGAGTGGGGGCCAGGGATGTGGACACAAGGTCGCCCTTAAAATCTAAAGTAGTTCCCACCCGATACCAATGGGTGGGGGCACAATGGATCTATGTCCCCCCTGTTATTTTACAGGTCTAGACCTTTTCTAGTGACTGAACAGCAAAGCCAAGTTTCCAGTTTAATTGTTTAGCAGATATGCTTCCACATGCCGGATGGGCATATGAAAATACATTACCCCCAGTTTTGTAATATGAATCTTATTGAGCCTCATAGGATTTTTATTTATTTTATTTATTATTATAATATATATATATATATATTTTTTTTTTTACTGTTTTAATCTGATTAGCAAGCACTGGCCAGCAGCCACATAATTAGGGTTTTTACCTATTTGTCCTGCTGGCTGTCCAGGACTATTCAGACATTAGAGGTTACAGTGAGAAAAAGCTACTTGATTAACAAATGGATAAACTTAACACTAATTTCCTGTCACAGTATGTGTCACATCCGTTCCTATACCATTTGCATAAAATCTTTTACTATGCGTTTCGCCTAGACTGGATTCCTCGGGTGCATTGGACCTCTATTTACAATCTTACATTCATACTTACGCACACATAGTCTTCAACTAATTTTTCAATTTTACACAAAAGCACTTTTTGTAAAGACTGGCTTTCTTTTGTATCCTTTTCCTGCCATACCACTGAAAAGAACCAGACAGAAACTGGTTAGCAGCCACAATTTTTCATTGAATACAAGTTATAGTCTGCTGGTCACCAACAATTTTTTTTTTAACTTGCAAAATAGAAATGTGGTTTTGCATAAATGGCTCAAGAAATTGCTGAGAAGAGAAACAAATGATGTATTAACAAATTGATAACATAAACATCAGTTTCGATATGAGTGGATATTGCAAAGGTTCCTCATTACCAACAGGACATCTGTAGAGTCATAACAGACTGAGAGGTTTGCAGGAATCACCATGCGTTATTTTGCTTCATATCTTGGTACTATTACTTGTGAGTATTCTGTTAATTATTAACCATGGTGACAGTAAGATAGGTTAATTTAATAGATCTAATTTTATATAATGTTTTATTTTTTGCATATTTGCATATTTATGTGTAAAGTACATATGAGTATCAATGTTTTACAACCAATGTTACATCACTGTAGTGAATTTGTATTAGATTATCTATAGTAGAGTAGCTATACAGACATTATATGGACTTACAATGGAGATGTCATAATTAGAAGGGTCTGCTCAATAGAATGTGCAACATTAGAGTGTAATAATATTTAAATAGTCCATCAGTAGATTGTAGCAAGTCTCCTATGGTTGGAGAACAGATGGATTCATAATTTGTTTTAAGTAGTAATTTTTGATATCTGCCACCTGATTAATAACTTGATGAACAACGTCTAGGCAAAAGTTGAATTAGCAAACTTATTCTTAATTTATTGTTCACTTTCGTGAGAACCTTGTTCACATGTTTCTGCTGTTCTTTTCTGATAACTTACCAGTAGTCTTGTACGTTAACCTTGGGAAATAAACTTACACTATTTGTATGTTAATGTATTTTATTTATCCATTTTGCAAAAGCAGTTACCAGCACACTATCCCAAATCATATTACACAGTTAAATGAGAGAGGTTTTTAGTACCACTGCAATGGTCTTTAAAGTGTAAGCTCACATGCCAAGTGACGGAAAACACTTTTAGATGAGTCGTACACTAACAATTCACTTTGATGTTTTCAGCTAAAAGGCATAATCTCTAAGGAGACAGAAAGGGTTATTCCTATGAACCCTTACACTATGGCACTTTGGGATGGACAGCAGTACTGTAACATGGCTGTTTAGTACAGAAATGTCATGGTACCCAGGACACAAAATGCAAAACTTAGGACACATCTAACTGTTCCAAAACCTTTCCAAATGATTCATGAACATAAGTCACTATTAAAAAATCTATGGGAATAGTTGTAGATGAATCATTTGGAAAGCTTTTTTAACAGTTTTTAATCATTTGGAAAGCTTATTAAATTCAGGTATAAGGTTGGTATAGAGAGAGACAGAGTCAAATTACTGGTGCTTAAAATTGGCTGTGGTTCTGAGAGATAATGTATTTTGATATTAATATATTGATACATGAGCTACTGTCATATTTTGCATAGGCGTAGTACAATCCCCGTCTCGAGAAACATGTAGATCCAAAGTGTTGTAAGTTAACTATGTTCAGCAACCCCCAGTATATTTAAATGAGAGAAGAGAAAATCTTATAGTGTAGTATATAATTAAATGTGTAGCTCAGCAAAAAAAGGTATCTTACTTACACTTTTCAGAGAAAGAACCTGCTCTTAGTGGTATAGCCTTAGTGGTATAATCCACATCTGGAATGTGCAGGAACCAGGAAAGCCAGCCAGCAATAAGTGGAAGTATATAGAAGTATAATTTATTAGGGAGTTAACTTTATTATATAACATTAAAACGCACCAAAGAATACCAAAAAGTCAAATGTTGCGACCAAGATGAAACTGTTCGGAGTTGTCTATTTTTAATTACCAAGAAAATAAGATGAAGAATGAATTTATAGAGAAGCAATATAGTATAGAGTTTGTAGAGAAAACTATAAACTCAACAAAAAAGTTAGACAGGAATAATTTAATCCTAGTGATAAAGATAAAAAGGATCTCGCCCTACCTTTAGTGCTAGATTATATAATAAAAATATACAGGTTAGAAAGATGATTAAAACATATTGGCACATACTAAAAGAGGTTGATATATTAACAAAAACATTATTCCAGACAACCCCAAAATTATTTTTATAGGAGCCTGTAGTTTAAAAATGCCTCTAACAAAAAAAATATACAAGAAAAAACAAATCAAGTCTCATTAATATTTTTGTTAGATGAAATTGCATGGAAAATTAATAAATCGAACAATACTAATAAAATCTATAATATAAAACAATACTATAACATGCAACAGCAGAAATGTTATTTATTTATTAGAATGTCCCCGCGGCCAATATATTCATTTATAGTCAATATATATAGTCAATATATTCTGCAGAAAAATCAGACCCCTAAAAATAAAAACAGGTGAGCATTGCCGCAATATAGAAAAAGGGTTAAAAAACCATCTAGTCTCCTCACACTTTAATTTTCATAACAATGACCGGGTAATTTAAAATGCATGGGTATGCAGTTTATCTTTGGTTGTAATTCTGATGAACGCTCCAAACGGGAGCTAAAATGTTGATGTTGATCTGTTTTTGTAACGCTATAAATTAAAAGCTGAGACGAAGTTGCACACGCAGTGCACCGAAACACACGTCGGGCTATTTTCTTTATCTCACAGGGTGTTTTATACCATGTATATTTAAACATGGAATAATTTTTATAGCCTGCAACTTTTCCTTTCTTTTTCTAACCTCTGACTGGGAGAGAGGCTTTATCTTATCTCTATGCTGCTTTTTCTTTCAGCTAGTTTTTAAGTGCTGCTTTGAGACATCACCATACCAAGACATAACAACTTGGTATATACCCAAATGTCTACTATCTAAGATTTCTATCAGCCTAGCCTCTTACAATGTTCACATACCGGAATGAACATTTACTATAGGAACTGAATATCTTCCTCTACCTTGCTAATTACATTTTATTAACCCTTTGAATGACCCTTAGCTTGGACATTTTGAATAAAGCCTTTATTATAGGGATTCCAATTGAGTTAATTTTTAGTCAGAGTAAAGCAAATTTGCTTTAGTATTCACCCTGACTCATCCACTATTCTTGGTTCCTCAGATAGATTTACATTGTATATAGCTTTCTAAAATATCCAGATTATATCCATATCTCTTTTTTTTTTATCTTTATTTTTTTTTCCTTCTTTTCAATTGTTTTAAACATTTAACAAATTGTAATGTTTGTACATTCTGTGATCAATGTTCATTTTCTACAAGTCTTATTTGCAGGGAAATAGGAATATATAGAAATCTTAAAAATACAATTTAACATTAAGTATTTGAAAATATACATATTATACAAATTTACAATATAACACAAGACAGTGTAGCAGCAAAATATGTACCAAGATTGCTATAGATAGAGTGGGAGGGGGTTCAGGTATAGCTGATATGTTTTCAATGTTCAAGGTATGTACACTGGCTTCAATCAATCACAAACAGTTTCCATATCGATCAACTTAAGACATTTCATCCAGACAGTTGTTTTTTTGCTTAATTTTTGTTTACTCTACATCAGCTCCATTTTTATCTGAAACTCGAGTTGGTTTTTTACATTCTTCCAGGGGACTTCTAAATCTCGCAACCACTATTTTGGCAGCTAAAAAAAGGTGTATAAGGATTACTTTTAATTCATACGCCATAGGTGGCCAATTTAAATGTAGTAGAACAACCTCTGGAGAAATTTTTAACTCGAGTTTTAGATTTTTGAATATAAATTTTTGTATTGTCGACCAAAGATTTCTTAATTTATGACAGTCCCACCAGATGTGTTTAAAATTACCTCTAGCACATTTACATCTCCAGCAAATAGGATTGGTTAAAGAGTATATTTTATTTAATTTCGCCGGAACCAAGTACCACCTATTTAAGACTTTAAAGTGCGTTTCCAACAAATTTAATGAATGTATGTTCTTCTTAACATCTATCATTGAAGAACCCCATTGTTTCATACCAATATCAATACTCAAATCTTTTTTCCATGCTAATATGGCTGTTGGATTTATATCCTTAACACTAGATTTGGTTAGTATTAAAGCTTTAGAAAGTGGTTTGTTGATTTTTTTTGAGGTGAATAATAAATCAATCAAATTGCTTACATTTGATTTTGGTATGATAAGGTGTGTGGACATATAACTTTTGAGTCTAAGGAAATTAAACACTTCTCTAGATGGAAGATTATATAGACTTGTTATTTGGGCAAAAGTTTTGATTGTTCCTTCTGTCAATAAATGTTGTAGTCGTAATATTCCTAATTTTTTTCAATTATTGAGATTTAAATCTTCCACTTGGTTTTCTACAATATTTAATTCCAAGTAGCTTTCTATGTTTAATGCTTTTTTTATTTTAAACCAATTTTTTAATAGTTGAGTCAAAATAACATTGGGATATTCTTTTTTTTTTTGAAATTTTATCTATGTTCCAAATTAAGCAATCTAAGCTAGGAACTTCTCCTGCTCTCATTTCCATCTTATACCATCCCTCATTTTTATTTTCCTCTATTTGCATTCTATAGATATGCAGAATAGTAGCTGCTTTAAAATTATTCACTATGGATGGATAAGCAAGTCCACCCTTATATATATTTTGTACTAATATTGATTGTTTTAATCTTGGTTTCTTACCTTTCCAAATATATTGGGTGAAGCTTTTTTGTATTAACTCAAGCCAGTGAGTCGAAATATGAAGAGGTAGCATTTGAAACATATAGTTCCATTTTGGTATTACATAAGAATTAATCACATTTATCCGTCCCCAGAAGGTAATTTCTAAATTTCTACGATCTTTTAACCATTTGTTAAGCTCCAATAATAATGCCAGAAAGTTTATTTCCATAATCCTATTTATCTCTCTAGTAATTTTAATTCCTAGGTAGTCCATACTTTCCTTGACCCAAATAAATTCGTAGCTCTTTTTGATTTCTTGTTGCGTTTTTTTATCGAGATTAATATCTAATATCAAGGATTTGTTTACATTTAGTTTATAATTTGATATGAGACTATATCGATCTATTTCCTGCATAATATGATCCAGTGAGCTTTTAGGGTTTGTAACAGTGATTAAAATATCGTCAGCATATAGACTGATTTTTTGATCTTCATCTATAACTTTGTAACCTTTAATCTTCTTGTTATTTCTAATATTTTCAGCCAGTGGCTCGATAGATAATAAATAAAGTAGTGGTGAAAGGGGACATCCTTGTCGAGTCCCATTTTTAAGTTGGAACCACGGAGCAACAATATTAGGTCCAATAGTACGTGCAACTGGGTTTACGTAAAGAGCCATAATGGCTTTCTTTATCCAGCCTTCTAATCCATAGTGTGATAAAACAGCTTCTAAATATTTCCAGCTGACTCTGTCGAATGCTTTTTCAGCATCAATCGACAGAGTCAGAACTGGAATCTCATTTCTGTTTGCATCATCCAAGATATTTACAATTCTCCTCATACTTGTATAAGAATTTCTGCCTGGAACTTATCCTATTTGATCTTTATGGATAATTAGTGGGAGAAGTTTCTTTATTCTAACAGCTAGAACTAAAGCATATAACTTAGTATCTACATCTATTAAAGATATTGGACGGTAATTTTTAATATCAGTAGGATTTTTATCATTTTTTAAAATTGGCAAAATGTTAGCCTTCAGCATCTCTGCTGGCAAAGATCCTCTATTTGCCGCTATGTTGAAGGCATTGGTCAGATGAGGACATAATAGATCTTTAAATGTTTTATAAAATAAATTATTAAATCCATCAGGACCTGGTGTCTTTGATCTTTCTAGCTCATTTATGGCTTTCATAATCTCATCTGTAGTTATCGATTTATTTAGAAGTTCATTGTCAATTGCTGTTATTTGAAACTTATTTATAGTTTTCAAGTATTTATTGATATCATCATCTGTAGTAATTTGAAATATATTATATAACTTACTATAGAATTCATTAAAGCATTTTCCTATTTCTCTGGGAGTTGTTACCATTTTTCCATTATATATTAGTTTTTCCACTTTGTTCTGTCCTTTCTGTTTTCTAAGTTTTTGAGATAGCATTTTGTCAGCTCGATTACCTTTAGAATAATATTTGAGTTTTAATCTATCCATATTTTTGGCTGTTCTTTCTATTATTTTTTGCTTTATGTTTTCTTTCAGTTCTAATATTTTCTCAGGATTTCAGAGGAAGGAGATTGTTTGTTAATATGAGCCATATTTCTTAATTCAGTATATAAATAGGATAGGGTAATGTTCTTATCAAGTTGACTTTGTAATTTAATAAAATGACCTCTCATCACAGCCTTAAAGGCACACCACAGAATAGATGGATCGATGTTTTCTGAAGTATTTTCTTTAAAGTAATTTTTTATATTATTTTCTATATAGGTTTTATTTGTTTCAGAACAGAGCAAAATATTGTTCAGGCGCCAAGTGAAAGATTCTCCTTTAACGATACGAAAGGCTATTTCGCAGGACACCCGATTATGGTCCGTCCAGACTATTTAGTTAATATTAGTTTTTTTAATCATATCAATAATACTTGGATCTACCCAAATCATATCCAATCTTGAATAGGAAAAATGAACTTTAGAGAAATGTGTGTAATCTCTTTCATTAGGATTATAAATTCTCCAGATATCAAACAGATTATACTCATCTTTTTTTAAAGCTTTGGCTTGTTTTATAACAATTTGATTTAACTTGTTTCCTTTCATTAGTTTTTTGTCTATCTGTGGGTCTAGTACAGCATTAAAATCCCCTGCTAATATTAACTTTCCCACTTTAATTTCATCTACTTTTTCCAGTATTGTTTTTAAATAGGAAACCGGTGAACAATTTGGAAGGTATATATTGCATAGTGTAAAAAGTGTGGAATCAATTTTACATATTATTATCAAATATCTGCCTTTAATATCTTGTATCTGGTGAATAATTTCAACCTTGATTTTTTCTCCAAATATAACAGCTACTCCGCATTTTTTTTATCCTTATTGGAAGCTTGAATAATAAGCGGAAATCTTTTACCTCCCCAATTCTGTTTATCTGTTTGCCTCCAGTGAGTTTCTTGTAAAAATATTAAATTTAATTGCTTTTTGCTCAAATATCTATATAATAGAGCTCTTTTTGCTATAGTATTCATACCTTGAACATTGAGTGTCAGCATTTTTATCATGTCGCTTCCCAAGGCACCTCCACATCCGCCTCATAATCACTATTATCCTTCCCTATTGCTGCAAAAACATATACATGACAACACCAATAACATAAAGTTAAAATCATTGGAGGAAGTCCTCCCTTCTTAACACAAAGACTATAAATTTTCATTTAGAAAAATCAGTCTTTACTGTGTCTTTAAATCAGACACAAAGTAGGTGTGACCGGAGAGAGATAATATTATTTACACGTTTACCCCCCCCCCAAAAAAAAGACCTTTTGTTTTTAAAAAATATCTTATTTTCCATCTTCCCTTTTCCCCCTCCTCCTCTTTTTCTCAATAAACATGTTACTTCTTAAGGTAATTTCTATACTTATTCCAACAAATTTGTAAACAGTTCTCTCATTAATCTTCGTGTTATTCAAATACTAGTATATTCAATCCTATTATCTACTTCTGACATGTGAATTAATTTAATCTTTTTAGTTCTGTGCACATAGTGTTCATTAAACTATTATTATAAATTTTAGATCTATTTTTTCCATCTGACTTTTATATCCCTTTAATATTATGTGAAATAGTTTTCTGAAAAAAAGTTACTCTTGTACAAACTTTTCTATAATAGTGAAGGCTTGTGGGCCATACAAGTGAGAATTACAAATAAAATCTACTATATTAGTGAAAGCGTATGAGCTATCTAAATGAAATTTCCAAGTGACATCTTCAAACCAAAATTGCTACTTAGTTATATTGAGAGATCTCTTTGTCATGAAGAGAGGGGAGAGAAAAAAAAAAATCCTTTCTTTCTTTTCCTTTCCTTTCTTCTTTTGCTTTTTATCTTCTGTCGCAACAGTCTTTTTATCTTTCTTCTCTAATGCTAGTTAACCAACTATTTGCTTCATTTGCATCCAAAAAAAGTTTATTTTCTTGTTTCCAAATAAACTTTAAGGATGCTGGAAGGCTCCTTTGGAATCTGATCTCATTTTTTCTTAGAAAGTCTGTCACGGCAGAGAAGGATTTTCTCCAAAACCTAGTAAAATAAGATAAGTCTTGCAAAAAAATTATATCTTTATAAATAAAATTAATTCGGGGTTTAATACGGCTGGCTTTCATTAGATTTTCTCTCATTGAGAATGAAGAAAAACTTACTATCACATCTCTTGGGAGATGTGAAACAATTGTGTTAGGTTTATAAATTCGATGGAAGTTTACTATTTGATGGTCATCTGATGGCATTTCAGGTAGAATTTCTTTAAATAAGTTGCTTAGATATTCCTTTAGTTTTTCGTTAGTGATTTCTTCGGGAACCCCTCTTATTCTTTTATTGTTTTTTCTTGATCTGTCTTCCAAAGCTGCTATTTTTTTTCAAGATTGTCGGCTTTATTTGTTAAAGCCTGCATTTCTGTTTTAATTGCTTTTATTTGGGTTCCAAATACTTCAAGTTTTTTTTCCACTTCTACCACTGATACTGCCACATTTTTAATATCTTGTTTAATATCATTAAAGCTTGCATGCATATCTTGTTTTAATATATTGCGTTGTAGCTCTAACAATTGCTTGAGCTGATCTTGTGTGCTAATTGAAGCAATAGCTTGAGATTGTAGTGGAGATTGTACAATTGGGACTTCCAAATTGGTATTGGAGGTATTAGCCGGGTGTGTCATACATTCAGTTTTCTGATCTTGCACATCTTTAATAGGGTTTATAAAAAAACCAGACAACCTCTTTTCTGTTTGTTGTACTGATTTGATTTCTTTCTTCTTTTCCATAGTTGTTTTTCTAGTTGCCATTTTATTTTTTACTTCTTTAATTAAGTGATTTAACTTATATATCACTTTTATTTTCGATAATTATGTATAGTAATCTTCTCTTTTTATGCTATAGAGATTTTATCTCTAGCCAATATTTATATACAGATATTTTAGTGTATTACAATATATTCGAAAGTACTTACAGTTCTATTTTTTTTGGAGATTGCTGAAATTTCTTTTATTCTTGACTGATTTTTTTTTCTCTCTTTTTCTTCCCCCTTTTTTTTCTCTTTTTTCTTTTTTCTTCCTTCCTCTTTCCTTTTTATTTTCTCTTTTTGTTTTTCTTCTTGTTAGTTCGAAAGGAGGAGACTCCTCTTATTCCCTGCACAGGGGAAATAGACACCCAGCACCTCTCGTCCTCACCAAAGCTTCAATGTGTCAATATGCTTCTCGAGCATCGAGTGCCACTGAATTGTCGCACGCTGGCCGCTTCAGCTCTCCACTCCGCTTCACTCCACTCAGCTAGTTCGCCAACCGCCAGCCAAAATGCAATTACGGAGCGGCGTGGTTAGCTCGTCTCCGCGGTCGCTCTCGCCATCTTCCCTCTGGACACGCCCACCTCCAGCACGTGTGGCGTCTTACGTCATCACGTACCGCCCCAAAAATAGTTTTTGGATATTTTTTTATTTCTTTCTACAATTGTTAGGTCATGCTATGCCGCCCTAATGGCATTAAAGCCCTCCTTTTGCAAGGTGACATAGCATACCCTAGCGGCATTAACGTGTTAATGAACTGCTGTCTATATCACTTCCCCTGCCACTCCTCTTTATAAGAAACTGCATAGAGCTAAGTAAGCATATCAAGAGTTTTGGACATTCATAAAAACCTTTTTCCTATTGACAAGCTTAAAGAGACTTTCCACTATAAAAAAAACGTCATATCAGTGAGGTTGTTTTGGGAGCTGGAGTCCTTGAGTGACATGTTACCTTATTGAATGGTTTAACACCAAAGAAGGATCCTTCTTCCGTTCTCCTTTTCTGAACTGCCATACTGATAAGGAATTGCTGTCTTGGGAGTCAGTTGATGATCTCAGCCTATTACTGGTCACCGATTGAGGCCAAGGAAATTGTCTAAAGCACAAACATTTTCATTCTCTCTCTTTCACATTCCTTTATCCCCACAATCTTCTCTCTCTTTCCTTAATGGAACACTATAGGATTAGGAATACATATTTGTATTCCTAACGCTATATAGCCCTAGTCACCTAAACAATGGCTATGTCCCCGTTCCACAGTGAATAAATGTTTAATTAGCCATTTATTTGCTCACCTTAATCCACCGCCGGACTCCCTCGGCACTAGTGACCTGTCCTCCATCGATGTCAGCTCCCAAGAGGAGCCGAATGCTTTCCAATGGGTATCTTTTTTTGACGCTGGAGGTCTGTGAGGACATGCAGGGTCAAATAACTGTGATTTACTCTGTGTAAATCGTGGAAGTGCCTCTAGTGGCTGTCAGGTAGACAGCCACTAGAGGCTGGATTAACCCTGCAGTGTAAACATAGCAGTTTGAGCTAAAGTGGTCTGGGTGCCTATAGTGGTCCTTTAACTATCTCTACCTCTCACACTTCCTCTTTCTGTTTCACTATCCCTTTCTCTCACTATTCCTCTGCTTGCATTACTGTCAAACTCATCCTCTCTCTACTTTCACTTTCTTTCGATTCTTGCATCCTTGGTCTTTCTCTTCTGTTCTTTCACTCCCAAAGTTTCTCTTACATTCATTCTTTTTCACTCTCTACTCTCTAATTTCTTTTTTCTACCAATTAAAAGGGAGGTTAGGACTATATAGTTAAGGGGAAAAGCCAAATTTGGTATATGGAGTTTAACATCTCATTGACCTAAATATTCATTAGCTGCAGGGGTGTTGCTAGGGCCACAAAACATTTTTATTCCAAAAATAATTTGGAGACCCCTTCCTAAAGCCTCTCTCAGAAAAAGGCACTAACAGGCACACACAGTCACAAACAGGGTACACAGACAGGCAAGACAGACGGGCACACAAACACAGTTACACACAGGCATACATAGTCACAGGCAGGCACAGACAGGTACAAAAAGACAGTTATGCATAGACACAGATAAATACACACAGGGACACACAGGCATTCACAGACACAGACAAGCACACACAGGCACAGACAGACACACACACAAGTAAACACAAGAACAAGTAGGTACGCATGGGTAAACATATACAGGAACACACATGCATACGTATACAAAATAAAAAAGATGTCTCTGTGCCTTGGAACTTAGTTTTAGGAAACGCGGGAAGCCAGTCTCTGTTTCAGCAGAGCGGTCGGCTGTAAGCCTTCTAAAGAGAGAGTCCTCAGGCAGCATGCTGGAAGTCCCACACTTTGTTGGCTGCCTCTTTCTCCTCTGCTGCAAGGATGTTCTGCTCTCCCTGCCTGCACTGGTCTCCAGAGATTTGCACAGGGACACACAGGGAATATGACATTCTATAATATATGCTTCTCCCGGGCCGACTCCTAGACTCAGGAGATCGGTAACAGGCAGCGAGAAAAAAGTAAGTAAAAGACAAAATGATAAATGGCTATAAACCCAGCCCCTCAAATGACCTTCCTCCATGACCACCTACTATTGTTGACAATATATTTTAAAGCCTAGCAGTGGGGATATCTGTAACTTGTAGCTCCATCAGATAGGACTCTTACTTCCAACTTGTCCATCGGTCTTGAACAGCGTTCTCATCAGCTTTTTGTAATGACATGCAGTGGTGTACTCAGGTTTTATGCTGCCTTAGGCATGACAAAACTCGGGCACCCCGCTTCCAAATTTCTCTTTGCCTGACATGTACACACCCTAACTGATGCCTACACTGACATAAACTCACTGACAGATACACAGTAATTGTCAAACAGACTGTTTAACCAACACACACTTTCACTGAAACATACACATTCACAGACATACAAACTCACTCATTCACAGTTACACTCACTTACAGTTACACACACACATTCACTGACAGACAGACACACACACTCACATTCACTGAAAAACATACACATTCACTGACAGATACAGACACTCGCTGACAGACACACATGCACTCACTGACAGACACACATACACATTCACTGACAGAAATGAATACACACTCACTGACAGACGCACACTCATTCAGTGTCAGCAACACGCTCACACTGAGACACACATATACTCACTTATATATACAAACTGACAAACACACGTGCACATTCATTGAAAGACTCATATATACTTAGTGTCAGACCCCCACCCACTGAGTGTCAGACACACACCCACTCAGTGTCAAACATACATATTCACTGACAGACACAAAATGCAAAATGCCTTGTCAGTCTCACACGAAATACAGAGCTGATGGCATGTTTGGTGCATACAGATGAATAAAAAGCTGATTAAAATGCTGTCGATTTCAGGTTCCTTCATTGGATCTTTGTTTCCAGGCATTTTACAAATAAATGCTGTTTTTCGTGAATGACTCCCATTTATGTATTAAATTTAACACTTACTTACGCTTTGGCCATTTCAGTTCTATACATCATTGTTTTGAGCAATTCATTTACAATTCAACTGTTGATAAAAAAAAAGTTAGTTTCTTTGAACACATGAAAAAATTATCCACTCATAAAATGCAAATTACCGATATGATGGTACCCAAGCCTTTCTAATAATAGAGTCAATTTAATCATTATTGAAAAGCATTTCCTTTAGATATACATGATTTGGTGCCTTTAGAAACTAGTTGTCAATTTTATGGTTTTTTGACAAGCTGTTTTGTTCAAACATGTGCATCTAAATATAGATCTTTTGACTTCCTGAGCAAAATTTGAGCAATGCACTCCTTGCTTTTAGTTCCTACTTAGTATTTCAGATGTATTTCCTAAATATATAATATTGTAACATGTATACATATTTCATAATTATGTGGGAATGCTGTGTGGGTTGTGACCCCAGGCTCTTCTAAAAGTTCATTATGTGAAAGAAGAATATATGCATTTTTACCCCATACTTTTTACCTTTAGGCAAGGAATACTAAGGTCCCACTTGGTCTGGAGGGGGGATCTTGTGGTCTGCTCCACCATCATAAGCAGACCACTTTAAACATTTTGTTTGATTCAATGCATCTGAATGACTTAGAATGTTCGGTTGGGAACCTGGTAGCAGTCTAGAAGCGTGGGACAAAAAAGGAGCACTGACTGTGATCTGCATATTCTGTAGATGCTAACCACACAATCCCATACTGTAGTGATTGAGATCCTGTGTTCTTACAACTGGTCCCAGGAGCTGCAGAGTGGCCCTTCAAAACTGACACTACATATGAATTCCAAAATAACCTTAGGGTAGTGCAGATTTCTAAAGAACAAACATGATCTATTTTAGGTTAGATACCCCCTCTTTTCCAAAGCAATTTTTTCCATCCAAGATCAGACTTCTTTCTTAGTCGGACTATTAGACAACGCCTTAGTTCAGTTCTGTCTCCAGAACCCTCCTCCTCCCCAGAACATTCTCAGTCTAAAACCACAATACCAGCAAAGTTCCTTACTAAAATCAAAATTTGTCTCCATTGACATATTCCACCATTTTCAAATAATGATGGTAGGAGCTACATATAATTTCAAATCGACAAATGTTCTCCTGCCCCTTAATGTTGCATATGCGATGATTACATTACCCGCAATAATAATGCTGCTACTCTTAACACAATGCAGTCTGCCAACATCAGCGGCATGGGGAAATAGGTATATGCAGATTGTAATGCTTTTTAACCAATCAGGGTTATTTGCTAAAGTGAGAATCCCAAGTGAATTCAAATTCAAACTAGCTGAACTGAATAATTTTTTTCTAAGTCAGGTTCCGTTTGAAACTCAATTTGGCTTAAATTTGAAATTCACTTTGAATTCTCATTTTAGTAAATAACTCTGTATATACAGCAACGCCTATCACACTGAAATTCGGTGGAAACATATACAGTACATAGAATATTATAACCATGCTTTTCTGATTTGCTTTTCCAATAGCATAGTATGAAGTAAAATGAACTTATTGTACAAATCACACCTACTACACATAAAGTTTAACCCCTTAAGGACACAACTTCTGGAATAAAAAGGAATCTTGACGGAATATTTCCGTCATGTGTCCTTAAGGGGTTAAAAAACATTTAGAATTTTTAAATTGTCTTCATTCTTTATTGCCATAACTAACTTATCAGTCTCTTTGTATTTTAGGTTTTGTCCTGCTCTTTAAACAAGTTTCAGGCAGTGAGTATCTAGAAGTAAAACACTGAATTAGTTAATTCCGTTTCATCATTAATATTTACCATTTGTCTATTTTCTTTATTTTTATAATCCACAAGATCTTCCTAAACCTTCGTTTACAAAGTATGTGAAAGATGACAGCTCAAGAAATGAGATTATGGTGGGTGATACAGTTATTGCAAAATGTGAAACGGCCTCACCAAAAGCTGATACGTTCTATCTAAGACATACAAAAGGCATTGTGACCACATGGTTAAATCAGACCGCAGATCCTACGTTTACATTTGCCAACATCAAGAAAGATCAAAGTGGTAACTATGTCTGTTTATACTGCGACGAGTCAACATGCTCAGAACCCAGTGATCGTGTCTATATTTATGTTCGAGGTAAGAGATGATAAAACCTGGATTACTTCATGTTATTGAATTGTACTACTACAGTAGGTGTTTATTTTTGAAACAACAAAATGCAGTGAATTTAATGTGCACCTATTCATAAAAAACTATAGCCTAATAATTGACATTTGTTTTTCAGCCATTACAATTCAACGTTTAGTGAATATACCCTACAATAACTTGAACAGGCATCAAAAACAGCCATGTAAAGACATTATACATCTGTGTCTGAACACTTATCTACCCACACAAACACAGCAACACTCATCACTCACAGCTACCCACCAGCAACCACACTTATTGCTCACAGCTACCAATACACAAAACTGCACATCACCCAGCTACCCACACACAACCATACGCCACTCACAGCTAGATACACACAGCAACACAGCTATCCACACATTCCCACACACATAGCTCACATCTACTGCCAGACCAGCACACATCAGTCCCAGCTACCTATGAACAGAAATGCATCCCTCATTATTACTCACACACACTTCACTCACAGCTGCAACACCATTTATAAAAAACAGTCACCCACACACAAACACACATGCACTGTCACCTCATGCACACACACACACACACACACACACACACAGTCAGTCAGACATAGCCACAATATACACATCACATATAGTTCTAGCACTTACAGCCACCTTATATAAAAATAACAAAGGAAAATAATTACTGTGTGCAAATAACAGAAATAACAAATCCCCATGTGCATACTAATATGAAATATGCTGCCGCACCTATGTATAACACCTGATGCATTTTACAAAAAACAAATACAGACACTTACCCTTTATGTCTAACTATGATGCATGGACATGATTTGAGAACTGCAAATCTAAACGCTTAATATTCGTGCCCTTCTCAACAGTATATCATTTCAATAAATACAAGTGCACACATTAACAGTAGAAAAATTATAATATTTTTGAAGCTGTGAATTTCTTTATATGTACAGGTGATACTCGAAAAATGAGAATATCGTGAATGGCCTTTAAGCCATAATCATCGCACTTATGACAAATTACGGCTTGAACTATCTTGCTTTGCATGTAATGCGTCTATCTCATATATTAGTTCCCCTTTTACGTTGCATTACTGAAATAAATTCACTTTTGATTTCCTAAGGGGTTTATTGAAAACATTCGAAACTCTAACTGAAACGTGTAAAAGGACATGGATGGACTGATAGCACTGAGTCATTTCCTGACTGTAGAAGAAATGACTATAAAAGACAAGGAGTCTGCAGATTTGTAGTATTTTTCTGAGGGATAATATTTATTAAAATATGCTAGTTAACAGTTTATAGATCCTTATAAGCAGAAATAGCTCTAAATTCTGACATTTCCACTTTTGCATTTTAGCTTTACATTATATTTAAAAATGTGCTTAAATTCTTTTGTTGGCTGATGGACGTGACAGATATATAGTTATAAGAGGATATAATATATAAAATGAGGCATTATAGTATGTTCTCTATTTACCATGACAGTTCCGTGCACTGTCCATTTATTTAATATGTTTGTACTATATATTTAATCTTAGTGTAGGCAGGTTTAGGCAACCTTTCAGACAATGTGGACTACATCTCCCATAATTCTCTTACAGCCATAATGCTGGCAAAGCATCAGGGGAAATGTAGTGCACAACATGTGTGTGCTGAAGTTTGTCTACTGCTGGTGTAGACCAGGGGTGCCCAAAATGACAAAGCTTCATGGAAGCTGTAGTTCTACAACATCTAGGGATGTACCTTTTGGGCACCCCTGGTGCAGACTATTAACACAGTCTCTTTTTTTTTTCTATATTTTACAGATCAATATCCACAGCCAAAAATCTCTGTATCGTCAAGAAAAATTCTCCTGCCAGACGAAAGTGCCATCATCACATGCAGTACCCATTTTTCAAACATTACTTTTACCCTTTATAAAGATAAAGTGAAATTAAAGAATTACCCTAGTGGACAAAAAACTGTTTCATATCCCATAGATAAAGCAACTACATCTGATGGTGGCGAATACAACTGTATATTTCAAAGAACTTTAGACGACTCACAAACATTGGTCTCATCATTGAGTAATCCCATATTATTAAGAGTTAAAGGTAACATTGCTACAACTATTAAGATTACAGTGGTCCTGCAAATATAGGGATCTGTGCCCGGGTTAGTCAACACGAGCTTTATCCCGTATGATGCTGACCTGGCATTTTTTGGTTACATTCAGGTTAAAAATATTTTTTGTATGAATATTTGTAGTTCATAATAGAGGTTGGTCAATCTATTACAAACTGAGTATACTACACACAGCACATCAAATGAATACAACTAATCTTTATTATACAATGTCATTAAAACCCGGTCGCTGGCGATCCCACGCCGGCGATCGCAGTTGAGGGGACTCCCAGGGAGCCCCCCGCGGCACGTCCGACCCCCTGGCAGCCCCTCCAGCCATGTGAGAGTGAGGTCCTTGCGAGGACCTCACAATCACATGGCAGGGATAGCTGCCTCCTGCATTGCCAGCAGGGGGGCTGCCTGTAATGACAGGTAGTCCCCCTGCTGGCTGGAAATAAAATTAATAAAAGTTAAATAAGTGTAAAAAAATATATATATACTTAGATCATATATATATATTATATATATATATGATCTAAGTATATATATATATATATATATATACACATATACATACACACACACACTGTCTAGGTGTATTTTACTATTAATATATATATAATTATATATATATATATATTTATATATTAATATCAAATTACACGTAGACTGATACTGATTAAATATATATATAATTATTGTTATATATATATTTATATATAATATAAAAAAATTAAATATGTAAATACGTTAAAAATAAAATTAAAAAAATAATTAAAAAAATATATTAAAAAATATATAGATGTGTGTTATTTCATTCTAACTGTATTGTGATATTAACATATATATATTTATATCAAAATACACGTAGAACGAAATAATATATATATATCTATATACATAAATATATACGTAAATATCACTATATATATACCTATATATAAATAAAAATATTAAAAAAAAATTATATATATATATACATATATATATATATACATATATTAATTCTACATATATATTTATATAATATTTTTACATAATTAGGTATCTTAATTAATTACAATTAGCGGGACCTGCCTGACAACCCATGCCGAAAGTAAAGGGAATTTATTTGCTAGCACTATATTTAACCCTATAACTTTCCAAGACACCATAAAACCTGTACATGGGGGGTACTGTTCTACTCGGGAGACTTCGCTGAACACAAATATTAGTGTTTCAAAACAGTAAAATGTATTACAATGATGATATCGCCAGTAAAAGTGACTTTTTTTGCATTTTTCACGCACAAACAGCACTTACACGGACGATATTATTGCTGCGATACTTTTTACTGTTTTCAAACACAAATATTTGTGTTCAGCGAAGTCTCCCGAGTACAACAGTACCCCTCATGTACAGGTTTTATGGTGTTTTCAAAAGTTACAGCGTCAAATATAAGGCTTGCGTTTCATTTTTTCACATTAAAATTCGCCAGATTGGTTACGTTGCCTTTGAGACCCTATGGTAGCCCAAGAATGAAAATTACCCCTATGATGGCATACCATTTGCAATAGTAGACAACCCAAGGTATTGCAAACGGGGTATGTCCAGTCTTTTTTAGTAGCCACTTAGTCACAAACACTGGCCAAAATTGGCGTTTTTTGCATTTATCACACACAAACAAATACTAACACTAACTTTGGCCAGTGTTTGTGACCAAATGGCTACTAAAAAAGACTGGACATAACCCATTTGCAATACCTTGGGTTGTCTACTATTGCAAATGATATGCCATTAGGGGTGTAAATTTCTTTCCTGGGCTACTATAAAGTCCCAAAGGCAACGTAACCAATCTGGCGAATTTCAATTTCAAATGTAACGTGCTATATTTGACCCTGTAACTTCCCAAAACGCCATAAAACCTGTACATAGGGGGTACTGTTTTACACGTGAGACTTTGCTGAATACAAATATGTGTATTTTATTGCAGTAAAAGCAAACAGTATTATGACATTGACTGTTAAAATGTCATGTAGAACTAAAAAAATTATAAAAAATCTTATTTTCTCCCATTTTTTTCATATTAAATTATGTTTCATAGCTAAATATTTGATATTAAATGAAAGCCCTGTTTTCCCTGAATAAAGTTATATATAATAAGGGTGGGTGCATTTACTATGAAAGAGGTGTATTACGGTTGGACAGACGTAGCGCAAATGCCAGGCTTTGTTTACATTTTTTTTCGTTTACAACGTGTACATTTGGCTCCGTCCTTAAGGGGTTAATAATTTTCAGGAATGAAAAAGTCAAAAACAACCAGGAGAGCAGACACAAAACACCAAAACCGAGCCCTCCCCAACTGTACTACCCATGCAGTCCATTCCATTTGCACACTGTACTGCAATGCAAAACGTTTAACGCCCCCCTGTATCATGATCTCTCACCTCCCTCCCATGGCACTGGAAGAGTTAAAAACCCCTCTGTCACTTACATGATTCCAGTGCTGATGTCTCTCTGTGCTGGGTCAGAATCCTCCACTAACATCAGCCATCGGGGGGACTTAATGTGCATTCGCGGCAAGGGCTGTGTTGGCATTATGACTACCCTACAAGAAAGCACTGCTCAATGCTTTCCTATGGGATTTTAGATGATGCTGGATGTCCTCATGAATGACATGAGGATAGCCACTAGAGGAGGAGTTAACCCTGCAAGGTAATTATTGTAATTAATCAATAACTACAATAATTACTATTGCAGAGTTAAGGGCAATAGGGACAGTGCACCCAGATCACGTCAATAAGCTGAAGTGGTCTGGGTGCCTATAGAGTCCCTTAGAAATTAGGTTGTGGGGGAATCTACACCTCTATGATGGCAGCACTGAAATTTTTATTTAGACCTTTATCCCTTTACTAGTTTTTGTATTTTGTTAAGTTTATCTCCAGCGTGTTATGTTTCTGTTACTACAAGCCATCCCCTTCCTCCTTAGCACAGCCTTTCTGTATTCGAGCTCTTCGATAAGTGTGAAAGGTAGGTACTCTGGGCAGTTACTAAATGAGCCCTGTTACTACCAGAAAGTAACAAGGCTCATTGATAAAAGGGTCACGTTTTACTGACAAAGGCAGCTATCCACACATAAACAGGGATGGAAGGACAGTGGCCTGGGCCCCCTGGTCAAATTAGGCTTTGGCCCCATGCAGGCCAGTATACATGAGATAAAAGGGAAAGTCCAGGCTGTGGTACATGTACCATGTATTTAATTGCATGTGTATGTAATATGAATGTATGTATGTTTGCATATAGCCACTGTGAGCCCTTGTGTAAGTCTGAATCTCTATATGCTACACTATGTGTTTTAAATTCATTTTTTACAAATTCTGTTTTATTATGTTCCAAGAGCTGGTAAAATGACTTAGAATTGCTTGACATACTGGTTTATTTGTGTAGCATGGCTGTATGTATAAGGGGTTACTTGTGAATCATGCCAATGTGTTTGTATGAGAGGGTGCATTTGTGTAGCATAACAATGTGTTTGCCTGAGGAGAGTGTATTTGTAAAGTGTGCCAGTATATTTGTATGGGAGGGGGTGTATTTGTGCAACGTGGCACTGTTTTTGTATGAAGTGGGGTGTTTGTATGAGGGATATATTATGTCAGTTTGTGACAGTTTACGTGTGTGCATACGGCTTAAATGTGGTGTGCACTTTGCATTCCCACTGTTTTTGCTTCCTTATTGTAGTGTCTCTTTCCAACACCCTTCCATACACACGCCACCTGTTTAATGTATTTAAACATGCCTATACAATTTAAATTAAATATAGTTTTCAGATATTAGAAGTAATTGGGCAATTGTAATTCTCCTTCCATAGCCAGTAGTAGCTCATTCTCACCTTCCCTTCCCTATTGCGAGAACTAACACATTTTCCATGATGCCCCCTACAGCCTGTAGCACCACAATGTATCCCCATCACTCCCAATGCCCACTACTAGCCCATTTACCAATGTATCCCCATCACTTCCAATGGCCACAACTACCCTATTCACCAATGTATCCCCATCCCTCCCCATAGCCACATCGCAACCCTGCCCCTACAAACAGCCAAAAGCCTGTAGTCACTCACTGGAGCATGAGACTGCAGGGACAGCTACTGTAGCAAATGGGCGAGGCTTATGAACAGGGGCCGGCAGAAGACCGTGCGGGCAGCTTCTTGTGGGCAGGCTGCTTCAGGAGCTCTTTGAACTCCCCAGCTGAGCCACTAGTTCACTTCACGCCGCAGACGGACCCCAAAGAGCCTCATGACCTCGTCCCATGCCAGTTTTTCCCAAGTGCTCAATTGCCCCTGCACATAAGGCATTTTGGCAAGCTGAAATGCTTTATGTGTTTGGAGTGTTTCTTTCTAATGCCATGCTATTTCAGATATAAATGTGTGTGTCGAAAGACAAAATGCTGCCCTTCTGCTTAATAAAATATACAGAGAGAGAGAGACACATGTGGGAATGGGATATGGCAAGAGGAACACAGGTGATGGAATAGGGGATATGAGTTATACAACTAAATCAGGGGAGCCAGGCTTATACTGAAAAAAAATGTTTTGATCAGTTTGACAAATTACTCATAACAAAATCTCCTTTATTTAAATATTTCAGATCTACCCAAACCTTCAATAGCTGATGAAGATGATACCAGCAGAAACAAGATAAGATTTTACTGCATAGCTCCCACTATGGAGCAAATGCTAAGTTTTCAGCTACTAAGTGAACGCAAAGGAATTGAAAGTCAAATTAGAGCAACGAATGCCAAAAATGCAACATTCATCATTGACAGGCCCAAACACACTACTCAGTATTTTTGTAAATATTATATAACAATGGATTTTGACATGGCGTATTCGAGAAGGAGTGATGGAAAAACCATAAAAGGTAAGGGTACCTCAAACCAGTTACAAATTAATAATCAGTGACTGCTTTGATCATTTAAATTTCCTATTCTACTCTTGTGATACTTCAACCTTGGGTAAAAAGCTTTTCCATAAAATTAAGAATTGTTAAGAATTTAAAAATACAAAAAAATAAATACCATACAAAAGAATGGGCAAAAATATACTGGTGCTTATATACTGTCAGGGTATGCTAAAGCTAAATGGTAAATTTTATGACTCCTGCTTAAAATATAGCCCCTCACAAAAACCTGCCATATACCACATCCAATGTCCTACCCTAATCCCTAACATGATTTTTAAATCACATTATGACATGTTGAGTGAATTCAGAGTATAATATAAACTCATATTTATAAACTGCACCCTCCTGTATTAAAACAGTACTGTCACCTCCGGAGACCTTTAGAGAACTTCTCCAAAGACAGTAGTTACGTCGGTTTGTTCTTAAGTAATTTCTTAATATATGTGACTAGAAATTGTTTTTATTATTATCATTTGTTTTTATTTTAATTATAGGGATTGACTATACCACAATTAATGTCATCCGGCTTCTTATCGCAGCTTTGGTTCTTATTCTGCTTGGTGGAATTCTCTGGAAGGAATCAAATGATTTCAAGACATCACAGGAAGAATATCTCCCTAAACTGCCATCTGCAAGGGGCAAAAGTACTAGAATATCTAAAGCTACAGATGTTATTTGCCAAAGTGGCCTTCCGAATGAGAGTATGTTGTAATATCTTGAGTGTGATACTCACAACTGCTCTCTGTGTCATGATAGTGTTAACATGCAAGTATGGGTAAATTCTAAGATATAAAATAAACTTTTTTCTACATTAGGTTTGGCTCACAAAACAGTGAACTTTGATGAGCAGAGAAACAACTTTTTCAAAATTAAGAACAAAATATTACTTTTCTGGTCTGTGAACCTGGCATTTAACTAGCTGTCAAAGTAGCCTGTAAATTAATCCTTCAAAGGGAAAATTGAGATTTAAAAGTACATCCTTAAAGGATCACTATAGTGTCAGTAAAACAAAGCGGTTTTCCTGACACTATAGTGCCCTGAGTGTGCCCCCACCCTCAGGGTCCCCCTCCTGTGGCACTGAAGAACACCTTCAGTTACTTTTTTTTAATCCAGTGCCGGGCTCCCTCCGCGCTGGTGACCTCTCCTCCCCGTCCAACGTCAGCTTCCCCGTCCGGCGTCAGTGGAGCCGAATGCACATGCGCGGCATGTGCCGCACACGCATTCAAAGTTTACATAGGAAAGCATTGCTTAATGCTTTCCTATGGACGCTCTGCGCGATGGATGCCAAATTTGCATCCAGCGTCGCAGATGCGCCTCTAGTGGCTGTCCAGAAGACAGCCACCAGAGGCTGGATTAACCCCAAAGGTAAACATAGCAGTTTCTCTGAAACTGCTGTGTTTACATCTGAAGAGTTAAAACCTGAGGGACATTGCACCCAAACCACTTTATGAGCTGAAGTGGTCTGGGTGACTATAGTGTCCCTTTAAACATTTACTCAATACATGTTAGCCGCTATATTATTAAGTTTGCACTATTTTAGTAATGAATGCAATATGCTCTGCTGAGGGTGTTAAGGCTCCTCGTTAAAATTAACTTTAACTTTTTTTGCTGTTGGCTACTATTTTATTTCATTTCATATGCATTAAATGCATGCTAAAAATTCTATATGCCCCTTAGCTTTTTAGCGCTTAGAAGATAATCCCCTTAAATTATAGCAAGGGTACATATATAAATAGAAATAATATAGCAATAAAAAGCTAAACTCTAAAAAAAAGAGCTATAATAAAAAACTGAGAAAATGCAGATAAACATATGTCTCTGAAAAGTCCAAAATCTATTGGATTGTCATGTAGGATCCTATGGGGGAGAGTCCAAAATCTGTAATAGTAAATGGAAACCCAGAGGAGTACTTGGAAATTCCTAAGGCAAAAAAAGAAAGAGATATAGTGTAACTCTATAACATTTATTGCCCCAGTATAACAAAAAAATCCCCCCCTAAATAGGAACTCTCACAATGTAAAAGAAATGGTACTTATTCCTAAGGACCATGTAGGAAAATCCTTGTGGCTGCTTTTTCTCTTGTAGTCCCGACGGCTTGTCCGGTTCCCCAAAGCAGACAGCATCCACCTCGTGCACTCAGTTTAGTTGTCCGAAGATGTTTCTGTAGGGAACTGCTGTTGATAAAAACGGCTTCTTCCTCGAGCTTGATCCACAGAGGATATGCAGCAAAGTCCTCCTAGCACCTCATCAACGCGTTTCGTCCTACTACTGAGGACTTTTTCAAGATAGGTGCTATGACCGTTGCTGGCGGTTTTATGCTTTACCGGGCAAACGGATTCAAAATCCTTAAAGGCAGAACAGGATACATTCATCTCTTTATTAGAGTTACAATTTGTTACATTAGCTAGGAAAGTGGACATTTCGATACAATACATGTGAAAAAATCTCTAGGTTATAAGTGTCTACACTATAATGAGCAGTGATAAGGTTTATTGCAGTCATTCTGGATAGTTGAATAATGAACACTAGAAAACCTATGATATATAGAAATGTTATTTATAATTTTGCACTATAGGAAATGTTTTGTATTTTAAACTTTTATGTCATTTTCATACATCTTAATATATTTTTAATTACACTATACGATATTGTGCCATAGTTTTGGGCGTTTGGGTTGAAATGCCCTGCAGTATAATTCTATATGTTATGTAAAATTGAGAGGATCGATCTAGCATATATGTTGAAATTGAAAGTGTATGCCTTTAAGGATTTTGAATCCGTTTGCCCGGTAAAACATAAAACCGCCAGCAACGGTCATAGCACCTATCTTGAAAAAGTCCTCAGTAGTAGGACGAAGCGCGTTGATGAGGTGCTAGGAGGACTTTGCTGCATATCCTCTGTGGATCAAGCTCGAGGAAGAAGCCGTTTTTATCAACAGCAGTTCCCTACAGAAACATCTTCGGACAACTCACCTGAGTGCACGAGGTGGATGCTGTCTGCTTTGGGGAACCGGACAAGCCGTCGGGACTACAAGAGAAAAAGCAGCCACAAGGATTTTCCTACATGGTCCTTAGGAATAAGTACCATTTCTTTTACATTGTGAGAGTTCCTATTTAGGGGGGGGATTTTTTTGTTATACTGGGGCAATAAATGTTATAGAGTTACACTAGATCTCTTTCTTTTTTTGCCTTAGGAATTTCCAAGTACTCCTCTGGGTTTCCATTTACTATTACAGATTTTGGACTCTCCCCCATAGGACCCCACATGACAATCCAATAGATTTTGGACTTTTCAGAGACATATTTTTATTTGCATTTTCTCAGTTTTTTATTATAGCTCTTTTTTTTAGAGTTTAGCTTTTTATTGCTATATTATTTCTATATATATTTATTGCCCCAGTATGCTATAATTTAAGGGGATTATCTTCTAAGCGCTGACAACACTTTTATCATTTTGATACAGGAATTGGGAATATTCTTTTTGTTTAGCAGCTGTCATTTATAGGGTACCTTGGGTACCATCTTCAATCGATATTAACAACCACACTGGTTTCTATTTTGTATATGCGCTCTCTTTATTATCTTGTCACTTAGCTTTTTAACTGACAATGGATTCTCATTATAAAAAAGGACAGTCACACCAACTACAAAAGGGATTAAACAATTAAAAGAATTACTGAAAAATGATAGCCTGAACAATCCGTGGCAAAACTCCTATTCCCTTAGACTTCAATAACTCCACCGGTCCACCATATATCCAATATAATTGGAAACACAAAACACTTCTTTCCACCATTAACTTTAACAATTTATAGGAAGATGTGTGGCCTTTTTATAACCGTAATAAAAAGAAAAGAAAACAAAAAAATATCAAGTTTTAATTTCCAATATGCCCTATAATCACTATAGACATTAATATTCGTTCTTCCGTCTGTAGATCTTGGCTCCAAAAATTAAGTAAAGAAAATAAATCCTGGATGCTGAACTGAAAATATGACCCCCCTCCACACCCCCACTCCATCACAAAGAAAAAAAAATCACAAGGAGAAAATAAAACCTAAAATCTGATTAAAAATGCTCCTGACTCTTTCCTGGCGTTGTGACTGGTGTTATAGAAAATCAATGGAGATGTCTTTGCCCCTGTCACCGAGCCTCACAAGAACAAGGTGTACTCATTGATACATTGAGATGTGCTATCTATAAAGCCATTTCATTGTAATGCCAGTAAACACAGCTTGGGATTTTAGGGACATATAAGCTCAGCTTTTAATTTAGACCATTTAGCCATTAAGAATTCATGTTATATGCCCACTTCCACAGGTAATTGGTAAGGACATCAAGGGCTGTATATTGTAAGTATTTATTTTTTAAATGTTTCTAATATGTATGTTTTATTTAACACCCTTTGTAATAAAATATTAGAATTAAAATGATTTGGAAGGAGTAGGATATGTTAATTCATAGAAGATATATATATATATATCCCTGAGTGGATGGAGAAAGAGTATAGGGATCCCATCTGTATATAATTACTCTTATTCCGCACTGCTTATGAGTGAAAAGAAGTAAGCTGAGCCCTTCAAAAGAACCTATGTTTTAGGGATCCATTTTTGGGCAAGGGACAGTCAGATAATTTCTGTTTACAACATTGTTCTAAAGAACTCTGCTAATAACTTTGTTTCTTGAGGAAAGTAGATGTAAGTAACTTCTAATTATGTAGAGTCCTGAGGACCCTGCCAATTTAACATTTTTAGCTTATTTGTATCAATTTTAGTATCAGAGAGAGTTTGGGTGAAAGGAAAAATAGCATTTTTGGATTTCTACAAGTGCTTAATATTACAGCAATGCAATTTGCAGTATTACTGAAAATGAATGATCTTATTTTTTTTCCTGAAATAGCTAATATAAGACCTGAATATCCAAATGGCACTTATCTTACCAAAACGTATGTACTTCGGGGGGTTTACAAACACCTTTTTTACTTCTTTTATATCAGGAGCTTATAAATGTCACATTTATTTTGAGCCTTGTTCTAGAGAAATTAATACTTCTAGCCAAATTGATTTATTCATTTATAAATTGCAGGACAAGTACCCCAATTTGAATGCTGTCACTCAAGAAATATATTGAAAGGATTTCATTTAGCCTATAATAGTGTAGTCTTCATTAAATTCTGCCATTATAATTATCATATTTATGATCTATAAAATGGTGGTTTCCTTGTAAATTTTGCCAGTTTTCACAGAAATTTCCGTTTTAATAGACTGCCAAATACACAGTGTTGGAAAAGTCTGGCCAAATATGTCATATATTAAATGGTTAATGGTGGAAAATGCAAAAAAAGCAACTGCTGATAAAATCTGACAGAGATGATAAATGAGTTACATAGTTAAATCTTCACACAAATAATACGATATATAACATATAGAATGCTTTTCATTCAGTATCAAGCTTTGGAAAAATACAAACGTTGAAATATAAATTGGGTTATTGACTAACGTGGAAATTGTGAAGAATTAACACGATAATGGGAAACTCAGTGCTGAATTTGTTGGCCAAAATGAATTGGCCAACAATGTGAAATTCTCCGCAATTTCTAATTTAGAGTATAACCCAAAGAATTCAGACATTTTTGGGATATTAGTAACTATCACCATGTCTTTCATTCAATAAATGGCAATAAAGTTTTTTTAATTATCTCTACTGAGTCCATGAATTATTTTAAATATTCTACTTGCCTTCTAAAATAGCACTTGATAATAGATATTACCGGTGTTGAATTTTCAGCCTAAGCACTGCGTTGTAGAACAGTATGCGTAAGCACCGCTCAACAAATTCCAAAATTGAGAAAATCAATCCCTATTTTATCTATGTATTGTCAGGCCAATTACCTCGGACTCTCTCGCCATGACTCCCTCCTCATCTGCTGTGGCATCATATCACATGATTTTTCTATGTGGCTGGCCCGTTTGCTGTTGTGGATGGATGGGCGGCATCTACCCTCAGTGGAAGTGACGTCGAGGTTCTCTTCTCCTTTCCAAAGCCTGCGATCCACTCAAAGTATCGGGCAGCATCACCTAGTGTGGGGCAGACAATCTACCGACTATGAATTTCATAACATGACAGGAGGCTTCATATTTGCATTAACTTTCTTTACTAACACCACAACAGCAAATAAAAAACCAAGAGAAATAAAGAACCAATCAGAAACAGTCAGAGTGTATATAATGGAACACATATGCAAAGCATTTCCTCTTTCTTTGCTGCTCCATCACAAGATAAGTATCACATTTGTTACTCCTACTTATTTAGCTCTAACTGTGTTTTTTTTTTTTACCCCTGATTGGTTTTTTTTTCCCTCTACTTACATTCTATCATTTCATTTATATTATCTTCTTGCTCCTTTTCTGTGCCTTTTTCTGTCAAACGCTTTTCACTCGGTTCCCCCCGCCCCCCTTGGAGTTTTGGGGCCATTCCCACCTGCCCTCCCTTGCTCTCGGAGCATCCTTAACCCTATTGTTAGGACCTGGGGGTTTCGGTGGGGTATTTGGGGAGTTTTACAGCATTTTGTGGGCACAGCTATTGCGCTGGTCTCTAACCCCAATTAGAAGGGGGCACCCTGCTCCCTCATCACCAGCCCCTCTCATGCTGCAGCTGCCTGAGCAATCTATGGAGAGCCTCAGGTGGCTGCATCGCTGCCAGGGGCCGGCGCGTCCATTAGGGCACTTCCTGTCAGTCTGACCGTGTACAGGAAATAAAAGGGTAGTGGGGGTCCACTAAGGGGAGTAGGGGGGCCACTAAGGGAGGGAGGGAGGTGAGGAGAACATGGGAGGGAGGGTGAGGGGAATTATCCACTAAGGGAGGGAGGGAGGAGGGTGAGGAGAATGTGGGGGGAGTCCATTAAGGGAGGGAGGGGGTGAGGAGAATGTGTGTGGGGGGGAGAACACTACGGGAGGGAGGGGGTGACGAGAGACAACTAAGGGAGGTGGGAGAGGAAAGAACACTAAGAGAGGGAGGGGAGTGGAGTAGAGACCACTAGGGGAGGTGAGAAGAGACCACTAGGGGTGGTGGGAGGAAAGGAGAGACCACTAAGAGAGGGTGGGGGGAGGGAGGAGACACAACAAAGGGGGAGAGGAGAGACCACTAATGAAAGGGGAGACCACTAATGGAAAGGGGGCAATAGAGGAGAGACCACCAATGGAAAGGGGGTGAGAGGAGAGACGACTAATGGAAAGGGGTGGGAGACCACCATGGAGGGGGAGGAGAGACCATTAGGGGGGGCAGAGGAGAGCAGAGACCACTAAGGGGGAGAAACCACTAATGGAAAGGGGGAGAGAAGAGGAGAGACCACTAAGGGGGGGGGAGAGTAGAGACCACTAAGGGACAAGGGAGGAGAGGAGAGACCGCTAAGGGGAAGGGGAGAACTCTAAGGGACGGAAGGGAGAGCTCTATAGGACAGGGGGCAGGGTAGAGCTCTAAGGGAATGGGGGATAGGAGAGAGCACTAAGGGATGGGGGGATGAGAGAGCACTAGGAGATTGGAGGGGAGAGCACTATGGGAAAGGGAGCAGGGAGATCACTAAGGGACAGGGGAGATCACTAAGGGACAGTGGGGCAGGGGAGAGCACTAAGGGACAGGAGGGGAGAGAGGCTAGGGAAGGTGGGAAAGAGAAGCACAAAGGGGCTGGTAGGACTCAGCCCCTATCCTACCCCAAAAACTCTCTCTTTCACACTATGCACACACACACAATGCATCCCTATACATACACAGAAACACACAATGCTTCCCTTACACACAGAAAAACACACAATGCATCCATTACACACACACAGAATGCAACCCTTACACACAAAGACAATGCATCCTTTGCACACATACACAGAAACACACAATGCATCCCTTACACACACATGCAAACACATACTACTTCTCTTACACACACACAGAAACACAATGCATCTCTTACACACACTGAATGCACCCCTTACAGACACACACACTGCACCCCTTACATACACAGAAACACACCTTGCATCCCTTACGCATACAAACACAGATTCACACAATGCATCCCCTACACACAACTAGAAACAAACAATACATCAGTTATACACAAACACACACTGCTTTCTACCCTTACAAAAAACACACTGCTTCCACTACACACACACACTGCATCACCTACACAAACTGGTATCCCTATACACTACATTCCATAAGCACACACATTAGATCCTCTACAATAACACATAACACATCCCGTACACACCCCACTCCCTGTGAGGGAACTCATGGGTGGAACATGTAGGTGAACTTATGGGTGAATAGATAATGGATCAGCGCTAAATAATCTAAGAGAGGCTAAGAACGAATGAGAAAGCAGCAACCTATAATTTTGAGGTTCCCTCACGTGCCCTTAGAAGGAATAGACAAACAGAAAAATGGTATATAGGTCGCGCTATAGGGACATGAAAATAATAGGTAAAATAAATATATATATGTAAAGAGAATAAATAAATAAAATAATAGTCCCAGTACTAGTATGTCTTTAAATAAACCTGTAAAAGTGCTTGATTATGGAGTGAGTCCAATGAGTAGCTGGATCTTCTGGTGCTGACGGTGTCTCAGTCCAATTGTAGATATATGGATATGTAAAAGAGACAAAAATACTCCAATAGTGTAGATTGCAAATCGACGAGTTAAGAGATAAAAATCAAACGGCAGAAAATCCACTCACCTATTCATGAGCATGGACTAGCTCAAGTTTTTATAGCATTCAGTGGCGTCAATCCCCCACTGGTAGGATATGGGTGGTGAGATTATGAGGAGCTCCTCGGTATATAGAGAGTTAAGAAAACAATATAGTGCTCACTGAATTAATGGAAAGGTAAATAGATAAAAGCGATAGAATACTCATATGTATATGAGCAGGATGTACTGCTCAATAGTGATGTCCCGAACGGTTCGCAGAACGGTTCGCCGCGGACTCATCGTTGAGTAAACTTTGACCCTGTACCTCACAGTCAGCAGACACATTCCAGCCAATCAGCAGCAGACCCGCCCTCCCAGACCCTCCCACCTCCCGGACAGCATCCATTTTACATTCATTGTGAAGCTGCATTCTTAGTAAGCTGTCCAGGAGGTGGGAGGGTCTGGGAGGGAGGGTCTGCTGCTGATTGGCTGGAATGTGTCTGCTGACTGTGAGGTACAGGGTCAAAGTTTACTCAATGATGAGTCCGTGGCGAACCGTTCGGCGAACCGTTCGGGACATCACTACTGCTCAATATAATAGCATAGGTGGTATTATCCCCACCTAGGATTCTTGGCCAGATGCGTGCTCCGGTGTAACAGGTAACCAGGTGTAAAACGAAAGATAAAATAATAAAAGGTATACAGAGGCTACTGGAAGGGCCAATATTCCTTTATTAATAATAACAATATAAATATATATGTCAAATGTAAAAAACAGCCAAAACATGTTTCGCCTCACAGGGCTTTATCAACTGGCAATAAAAAAGAAACAACCTGGTACATGGATGCTTATACAAACTCTTTCAAGCACTTTTACAGGTGTATTTAAAGACATACTAGTACTGGGACTATTATTTTATTTATTTATTCTCTTTACATATATATATTTATTTTACCTATTATTTTCATGTCCCTATAGCACGACCTATATACCATTTTTCTGTTTGTCTATTCCTTCTGAGGGCACGTGAGGGAACCTCAAAATTATAGGTTGCTGCTTTCTCATTCGTTCTTAGCCTCTATTAGATTATTTAGCGCTGATCCATTATCTATCCGTTTGATTGTCCTTTTCCCTCTGGTGATAGCTGCTTTATTTTCTATAGAAGCCATGTCTATTTTTGACTATAGGAGAAACTACACCATTGATATCAACCACGTTTTTGATACTAATAACAGTGACTTAACTTATAATGACTATCCAACTCTTAATCAACAAGATCTATTTAGACAATTAGAAAAAGCTTTGACTTCCGAGATAAAACTAAAATGGGAAATAGCGACTTTAAAAATGTATATTGATGAGAAAATGACTCCTAGAGGCCTTAGGCTGTATAAATTACGTACCTCAGATCAGGATGACGAGGAATTTATGAATGATTGGTTTAGTAAACTTGAGATATGTACTTTTGGCCTCATGGAGACTTTAATCATAAAGAAAAGTAAAAAACTTTCCAGTTTAGGCACTGAGATTAATAAACTCAAAGACAATTTACTACCCTTCACAGAAACTCACGCCTATAAACAAAACTCAGTTTTAATACAGAGTAAAATCCAAAAGGTGGATACTGATACTAAACATATTAAAATAAAAAAATATATAAGAGACAAACAAGATTATAATAAAAATCAAGTGAGAACATATAATCAACATAAGAAATACATCAGTGATGCATTTACAATAAGAAACAAAGACCAATATTATGGACACAATCCCAACCCTTACCGCTATAACAAACCAAGACACTACCCCACTTCACCTTCACCACATCGTCACCGTCAAGTCAGTTACTATCCACAAAAAAATACGGTTCCTTCGCAAATCTCAAAAAAAATTACGAGAGAAAAAAACTCTCCATTTAATAAACAAAGACCACCACATATTTATAAGAAACCCACTCACAAAACTAGCAATTATCACAATTCACCAGATTATCAGAACTTTC